ATACAAAGACAGACCATGGAGGTGAATGTGGCTACAAAGTTAGATCACTTGAGAATAGTAAAAAAGGCATCCTTAAGCCATTGAGTGAACTTCTTCATCTTCCAATCATGTTCTACACCTGAAGAGAATGAGTTCTAGGAAGAAACCTGCTACATTTGGGATGGACCACCACTACTATATTTACTTCTTAGAAGAGCAGATTTATACAGATGAGACAAAAGATAAGTATGGACCATATTTCTTACCTAAAATTTATTATTCATTATTAAATTACTTTTGAGCACCATTTATGGTGTTCATTTTAATTTTATTGTGGCTTGTGCCATCAAAGAAACCACTCCCTTTTGAGTACATTTAGTAAAATTCCCTTTTGAGGTGGCTTGAACTGGTATATTTAATACTTTAAAACAAAAATCAGGAAACTTTTGCTTTTCAGTTTTATAGCTACATATGTAGAAATCTTGGTATAATACAAAAAAAATACTTCATTTTGATACAACTAAAAATAAATATAACCCCTCTCATGAGAATTTTACGCAAAAATGAGCTTTTGGACACTAGATTATTATCTCTTTCCATAAGATATAATGATATGTTAAATGCCATCTATATGTGTGAATTTGATGGATAGTATTTCCTACAGCAAACGTTTATAACTATTCTGATTAAATATTTTTATAGATCTTGATTTATATAAGCATGATGATTATTGTCACTCTAAATACTTTAGATTCTATGCAACAATTAAAAATTATGAGTAGAGAACAAAAGGTTTGTACTTTTGTCCTTGTAATTATTGATTTCTTTCATGAAAAATGAGATTGACAAATCTGATGTGGATAATTATGGCAAAAAATTCAAAATAAATTGTGCTTCTTCAAAAAATTATTCAATGGCTGTCATGATAATGCACATTGAGTACGATGGTAGGATAAATTAGGGTTTTTCATAATTACTATTGTTTTTTACTAATAAATTCTCATTGTTAAGTTCACCATATATTAGTGAGATCAAAATGAGATTTTTAAATACAACTTAGAAAAGTATGTTCTTCTTACTCAATGCAATTAATGGACGTTAGCATGGTGGAGAATAATGTCCCTAATAGAATTTATCAAGTAATGTTGATGATAATAGTGTGTATATCAACCAATGGGGAATCAATGCCACGTTGAAAGAGCATGGCAAGTAGAGGACCCCTGGTCAAGAGGAAAAGTGAAAAGTAAACATATAATCAAAGACAATTAGCAAATATGTGTTAAAAGCTATTCTGCGAAATAATTTTGCAAAAGCATGAGTTTAACTTTTGATGCCTCCATTCTTGACATAATTGAGCTCCAAAACCAAAATGGATGATATTCTAAAATAGACAGCATATATTGACAAATCAAATATGTCAAGGATGATTTCATACCATAAAAAAAATTCACATATAAGATCTATACGTAGAGTACATACAGGTAAAACTTTTGCAGCAATTCATATTAGAGCTGTTTGATAGATTGTATGAATTTGGAGAAAATGTTACAGAAAACTATTAATCCTCTTAACAGTAATAAAAACTAAGAATTTTCTTCATTTTGGATATCGATAGACATATAGAAAACAGATGTTCATCGTAGCCAAAGGAAACCAGGGTTTAATTGAACTGCAGATTATGTTTCTCTGATCTCGAAGACGTATAACACTGATAACTCTTGGGCCTCATAGGCTCTTAACATGTCCACAGCATCCTGAGCGGCGCAACCCACAAGGTGACACGCAACTTCAGAGAGAGATCTGCGTATCCGCCCGTCACCCTCAGTGGGGGATAGTAACACCTCATCTGCCCGTCGGCATTAGACCGTGACCACGTCCAAGACAGAGGTGGGCAATGTGTAAGCGCCTTCGGCATCTATGAGAAAGGATGAGGATCGAGAGGAAACAGAACACCTATCGAAGAAGAAAATGGGGAAAGGGATTGGAAAGACGGTTCGGAGCTCTTGTTATCCTCTCGATCCTTCTGCCCTATAGGCAGGTCACATCCGTGAAAAGTTTACTTGTCTGCTCTGTTATGATAGGACAATATTTCGCCATCGGTGTTTAATAGTCAAGCGTGGACAGATTCTCTCCGCGTCTAGTCCAACAAAGAGATCTCGATCTAGAACAGTTTGTCGATTTGTTTGTCATCTCAGGAAATTGATCCGAAGCACGCAACAATAGAGGAGGAATCCATGTCAGCGCATTCATTACCCTTCCCCAACTGTCAGAGAAATTTAGAGAGAGAAAAGAGTTAAAGACGAGAAATCCGTAAGCCTCCTACTTCACATCGTAGAGCATTTTTGGTTTCCTCTAGCTTCGAGAGAAGACAGGTAAGAGAGAGAGAGAGAGAGAGAGAGAGGGAAGGCGGAAGAAATCAGCGTTGACAGTGTGATCTATATCAGTCCAATTGATCCGTTATGGGAAAGTTTTCGTTATTTATGCGTATATCATGAATGACGGAGACATTATTCGTAAAACTAATTAGTAATGTAGTGTGTGGTACTTTGGTGAGGTCTGGCTAAGCACTGACCTAATTCATATTTCAGCCTTCGGACGCACAGGGGAAAGCTGTCCCCAAACAAATTCCGAAATCAGCGTCCTCTCCAAGTTACGGCATTCCTCCCTCGGTGTCCCCTCTCTTGCTCTCGCTGGCGCTCTCAATATTCCTCTCTTCCTGGCCAGGCCCCTTTAATCCCCTCCAGTCGAACACTAGTACTGTTCCCTCCCAACAACATGCGCATTGAAAAGAATTAATAGGATCTTTACATTATCTTAATATTTGCCTTAGGCAAATATAGGAGAAGATTGCCGGTCGATTATTCATCACCGTTCATTACTTATCATTTCAGTCGTTATCTCCAGCAGTTTCAGGGACAATCGGGACCGCCAGAGTCCGAAAGAGAACCAGTGATTTCATCTCATCGAAGGGCAGAAGTCAAGGTTTAAAGGCGTCGCCCTCCATGGAAATATATTCGTACGACATTGAAAAGATAGAGAGGACATTTCTTATCGATTTGGAGACTGATAAGAGGATATGCTCCTCAGATTGCATGCGGCATCTATTGCTGAAGTCCAAATGGCATCGACGGATAGTAAATGGAGACAGCCAAAGGACCCAGTGGCCAGCGCCCGCACGCGCTGATCGGCGTCGTACGTTCATTTTAACTTTTCCGAGAGTCACGCCTCGCGTCTTCGCACCCGGGAGAGAAGCCGGAGAGGATGATCATATCCAATATTTCTTCTCTCAAAACCTGCCCCATGCCGATGACGACCGTCGATCAGGAGGCAATTGTATAAATTTATCATCTGTGTAAAAGCGCTTCTGGAAACTGGAATCCGAAGCGAAGGCCGCGAACCATCGTCGAGTGTCACATTCAGGAGCAACAGAGAGAGAGAGAGAGAGAGAGAGGGCTTACTACTGGGTCTAGAATTTTTTCTCTTAATTAGGTAAGTCCAAATTCAAGAGACTACTATACTTTTCTGTAACTTTGCCTTAAATCACTAGTCACCATAATTTCTCTTGAACTTAAAGTTTGACTCGTCCGTGTGTCGTGAAGGGCAGGATAGAGAGAGATCTGTACATCATTCGTTAAGGATTCAGGTGTCATTCAGTTGAAAGGAAGACAGTAAATGAGATCGAGGTGATTCCTCTCCGGAGAGTATTTCAGATTGATACCGAAGCTCTGACGAGAAAAATGCCAAGAGGAGATGGTGGACTACTTTCCCCCGCCAGAAGACGCACGCGTTCGTCCGGTTGATGGCCTGGAATTCCATCGTAAGCAGTACGTACCCAGGGCCCCGATCTTGCTCGACAAATTTACCAACCCATTGACCTATTTATATATCTTTCTCTGCTCTCTGCTCTCTGCTCTCTCTCTCTCTCTCTCTCTCTCTCTCTCTCTCTCTCTCTCTCTCCTCTCTCTCCCAACCTACAATCGTCATTCAAGACATTCTTCTTATCTCTCTGTGGCATCGCCACAGAGGGAGTGGTGACTGCACTTTCGACCATTCTCGTTTAGGACTTGTCCAGTTCACCAATCCAAAGAATCTCCCGTTCCGAGGCATTGGAAGGACTCTACTCCATCGGGAAGCGGATGGAAAGTAATTCCTCGTGTGGACTTGTACGCGTGGACTTGCACATAAGACATGGTATCCCGTTTGCCTCTCTTTCTCGCGCTCTCTCTCTCTCTCTCTCTCTCTCTCTCTAGGTCTCTCTCAACGTAAAACGAAGGGACGAGATTGAGTCAAATAATAGTCCTAAGGAAAATGTTGAGCAAGTCCGCGACCTACGCTAATGGTGCTCCACGGCACAAAACGGGGCCCCTCTGCCTCTTTCTCTCTCTTTCGCAAACTTAGTGCGCAGACTTGTCGTTTTCGGTCGGGGATTTTCAATCTTCTTTTGAGAAAGTGCGGAATAGGAGGAGGAAAACGAGGGCATGTGGGTGCTCCAATGGAGACACCGGCCGACTGATCTGTCGTTTTTTGGCAAGTGCCCCGCGTGTGGTGAGCCCCTTCTGTGTGTAATTACAGAGGTCATCTCCTTATAGTCTTCTCCTCATGCCATATCTTTTCTCGCTTCACGCCCGATCGTTTTCTTCCGCTTCTCCCACCCAGTGCGGTCGTGCACGAAAGACTGTACATACATGTTTGTGAGTGTCTGTATGGATTTGACCAGGTGACTCTCTGCGCGTCGGCGCGTCCGTCTCCCGCGTGTGTTTCCAAGGATTTTCTCCTGGTCAAAAGATCAGAAGCGCATCCAGCGGGTCGACGAAGAAGATTGGTCTTATGCCCGACACACAAGCGCTCGTGCCCACTCACGCCTCAACTTTAGAATCTCTCACCCAGTCAGTCAACTATACTGCATGCGCACTTTGTTTGGTAGCTCTTGGATCGGAACCTTTCGTGCCTCTTCTTGCGTCCAACACTCAGTTCTCCCCCTTCCATCTCCACCCAAATCCTCAGGGATTTCTTGGTAGGTTATGGCCGCAAGTTGCCGCAACGCCGCCAGAAGCATCATCCAAACTCCAGTAGGAAGAAGAACAGCAGGAGGTGCGTCGATGGAGAATATGCAGACCCTGAGGTGCCCCCGCTGCGACTCCTCCAACACCAAGTTTTGCTACTATAACAACTACAGCCTCTCCCAGCCTCGCCACTTCTGCAAAGCTTGCAAGCGGTACTGGACGCGCGGTGGCACCCTCCGGAACGTCCCCGTCGGCGGCGGATGCCGCAAGAACAAACGCGCCAAGAAGCCCGCCAGCTCCGCCTCCAATTCCCCCTCAGCCGCGTCCGCCTTTCCCTCGGCAAATTCAACTAGCAGGCACTCCCATCTCTCATTCCCCAGCGTCAGCGAGCTATTCTACGGCAACCCCGCCGATGTGGGCCAGCTGAGCTTCCCCATCGGAAGTTCCTTTGACGACAAAGAATACGGGATCCAGCGTCAGACTGGGGTTGAGATGACACCCTCATTAACCGATCTCTTGACCGAGAACTCCTTCACCGCCTCCAACCCGTACCTTTCCCTTTACACCACTTTCCAGGCACAGATGGGTAGCGGGAACTCTACCTTATCGACGAACATCAAGTCAGAGGAGATGACGACGAGCAGCGGCCATGACCACTGCTTCAACTGGCCGTTGGCAGCACACCAGAGTACCCCAGAGGCCACCATGGAGATGGAACCTTGTCTCTACTGGAGCACCCTAGCCGCCCCTGGCTTCGGCGGTGGTACCGTTATTTGACCCAAGGAGGTGGTTGAGAGTTGTTTGGATCTGAGAGTTCATGTCGGCTGCACCATGGAGAGTTTGTACTCTTTGCTCCGAGAAGAACCTCGGATCCATCCAGGTTTTGCAGGGAACCTTCTTCTTCGTCCCAGTCAAAGGTTGTTTTGCAGAGAGACGAAGGGATATTTTCAAATCCACTCTACAGATATATACTCGTTGTGTAAGGTTGATGGATGTTATCAAAACATTACATGATGAGCCTTTTCTCTTTTTTAAACTAATTTTGTTGTGGATTTTTACTTGGATCTCTTAGGTACTTGCGTTTGTTTTTCTAACGTTATTGTGTTTTCCTCTTCTCCGTCGTCTTCACTGCTGCTCTTTCTACTGCGTTGATGTTCTGAACTGTTTCGAACTTCAGACTTCCTTTTCGTCGCCTTTTCCTTCATAAAAGTTTTGTTAAGACAGTGTTCTCTTTATAACTGGTGCTGTTGTGCCACTGGTTCGCGAGGTCTTCAGAACGCCTACTTCATTGATGGATGCTATTTCACTTTTGAAGATCATAACATCATAGAAATGGAGTCGTACAGTGCAACGTACGCAGGGCTTCAATATATCTTATTTATCGAATCCTCGGAACTACGAACCATCGATAATGGGTTGTTGTTGTATGTGCCCTGATACATCATTAAATTTTATCTGTTGTAGACAATGATGAGATCTATGTTACAGGACATCTTTTGGGTAATCTCTTGTGGAAGAAACTCTGCAATCAGAGAAGCCCACTAAACATTTGTTCATTTTACGCTTGAACTGGATCAAAAATGTTATTTCCTGCGCTCAATCAATGGTTAAATAATATAGCTGGGATAGGATGTTGAAAGTGAATATCCCCGTTTAAGGATATTAGCTTCTAGTTTCCTTTCCTTCAATAGGATGACCATTTTACACTCGTTTCAAAAACTGGGCCTAATCATCGTCTCATCAAATCAACGAGATCACATCTGTGAGATGTTAGTTATAAATTTGACCTTTTTATGTAATCTCGAATTAATGAGACACATTGATGATGGTCTTCAAGTATCCCGTTGTTATCTTAAAGGGCTCGGCAATAAGCTTATGAAGTAAGGTTGTGCACAAACTGTATGTAGTCCAGGGACAGTTCAGAAATTAGCTGCTTCATTTTTTATTCCCCTTTTACCTCAAAGAGAACAAAGACAAAATGGTCTCAAGGATGACAGATGGCATAGGCTAATCTTGTTAACGGTTTATTTTTGGATATCTAGATATCGTGTATAATTAGCATTCATCTTTGTATTCATGGAAAAGAACTTGAAGGAAACATCCATCTTTGATTACTTTCATATAAAATTCAAAATGACCTTCAATACAATAAACATATTTTTCGGTGCACTAAAAGTGCTTACCACTTTCTTTGTGTAACTGGATGAAATTTTACAAGTCTTTGAGCTTTCTAGAGTTTAAAGATAACAAGGCAAAATTGAGAGTGACAAAACAAAGGCTATGAAAGGTGCAAGGATATGGCAAGCAATGAGTTTATCTGAGGGTTAATGTATAAGAAGATAAGTGGTAATTTTTAGTCTGAAGATAATTGACAATTATTAGGCAGAATAAGTCCATGCTATCTTCAAAGTATAATGCCAAGTTTAACAAGTTATCATGGATGTTTATCACAAGGAAATTAGTTAATTATAATGAAATGAGATATTAATAGATCAATTGATGCAACTGTGAGGAAACTAGAATCTGCACAATTAATAGATCAATTAATAGGTCATAATGTGAGGAAACATCATCCATTGATGAAAAAAAACTGCACAATTAAACAATCAATACCAGGAGTACTCATTTTCTAAAAATCATATTCCTCTTAGGAGGAACTAGAATCTTTTGGTATTTGAATTTGGGAAAATTATTGTCTAAATGAACATATGGAACTTATTGTATGAAAAATACAAGATTATTATGAGGGATAAGTAGATTTGCATTATACTCACATGCACTATTTCTTACTCACGGCTAAAATCTTGCCTCCACCTTTCTTTATTTAAGATGAAATTTTTTTCATTGTATTAATTTATCAGTTATTTTTAATCCTCTATAAATTATTAAATAATATTAATTATTTGGAAAAATATATAATCATAATACATAATGGTGACTTCAGTGTATGCAAGTCATGTCACTTTTAATGAAAGAGAAATAGGTAATGGCCTGATGATCAAAAATTGGAAAAATTCAAGAATTGTTGGTTATCTTCTGAATCCACTGCAGATATTTTAATGATAAATAAAATCCATGACTTAATAAAATTACTTTAAAATCAAATTAAAATTTCAAATTCAAGAAACTTTGTTCAGTTCCATTATCATCATTCCAAAAAAAGATGTTAGTTTTATTTGAGGTAATTTGGATTCAAATTAGTTTCAAAATTAATTTATTTCCAATATATCAATGGATCTATTTTAATGCTGTCAAATTATTAGGGGTTTTTCTGATATTGATCACTTCAGATATATTCATTGACATTTAATTGCTAAATTTATTGGGTTAAATTTAGAAGATTTTTTTTAAAGGGTCAGTTGTGTTTTTTTCCAACCATTCTAATTTCTAACTAGTTTTATGATTTTAATGGTGAAGAATGACTAGAAATAATGATTTTTTCAGAGAATTACATTTGAATTTGAGTGGAATTTGAAGCTTGCTTCAACAATGACAAGACAGCATGTTGCTAAGTGAATATTGATTTAAAACAATTCTCCTTGATGTAATTTCAAAGATATCATCTTAAACATTAAATAACTTTCAAACATGAAGAGTGAGAAGGAAATCAAATATAATTAAATTACCCCTACATAGAATTGTGGATGTCTCATTCCTTTATCAAATTCTAAAAACTGCCTCTCATAATTTCTTTATTTACTTCTTGTGATATCAACTCATTATTCATTTTTCTTAATCCCTAAAGAGAGTTTATCCCTATAATCAATTTTGATCTACCCCAGTCCATGTATCTAGAAGATATTTCAATGTGAGGTTCTAAGAGAGCTGAACTCATTAATCACTAGCTGTCATTAAACCATATTTTACTGGAACTTAAGAATGATATGTTCTCAGCAAGTGGACATAGATAAGTGGCCGGACCATTGTAAAATTACTGGTGTCCTTAAGATTCAAATCTTAGAAATCCAAGGGAACTTAGGATGATAAAAGAAAAAACAATAAGAATATTTGACCAAAATTAAAAATTAGGATAAGATGGATTCAAGTTCTTCTTGATCTGTGTGGTCTCAAATCAATTTTTTTCTACTTCCATTGAAAGCCATATTTCTTCATTTATAAATGTTTCTTTTATAATTTCATTTATGTTCTAAGGTAGAAGTGTTAGTTCTCTTGTAAAAACGTTCTAAGGTAGATGGTATACCAAGATATGGTGAATTTTTTTATATTTAATTTTGACTGATTTAAACCATTTTATTAATTTAGAATATAGTGAGTGATCTTAAGCAAGTATTATGGGTTGACACATAAGGTGCAAGAGTTTGTAGCATATTTTCTCTCAAGTAGATATCATGACATGTAGGAAGATATTATCAATCATTTGGGATACATTTGAAAGCTCTTTGTAAGGGCTATTTATAGAGCAAAAAATTTATAATTTTGAAAATCCAATCTTTGAGATATTATTGATTAAAGATTATCAAGTTTGGCTCATGGGTTGACACAAGATTTGACTTCATGGGGAGATTGTCAAGTTGAATCATAGTCAAACTACATCATAAGATAATGTAAAATTGTCAATTTAATGATTTTGACAAGTTAGTCTACATATTTGACAATAAAAAATGTAATGACATATGTTGATATCCAGCTTGTCAAGATATGCCCTTTTATAGATCTTATGCTTTCTAACAGATTTTATGTGATGTCATATGTGACAGATTTGGTTGAGAGAATCCTTTTTTTTCACTCTCATGAGATTTGCTCTAATTTACTAGTTTTGTCAACCTTAGGAGCCCCACATATGTAGAAATTTATTATAACATAGGAAGAAAGTTAGTAAAACTTGTGATTGTTGAATAAAATATTTGGATGATTGTAATGCTTCTCATTATGAAAATCGCTGAATTTAGTCGAGCCAAGACCAATGATAAAATGGTTATTTTACAAGTTAAACTGAAATTTTTCCTGACCTTGAAAATACCTAAAATTGTATAAGCTCTAAAATGATTTATAGGATATACTAAAAAAAATAGTGAAATATTATTTTTTCTATGCCCTAAGCTGTGTCAATGCGTGTTCACACATGAGATAGAACGAAATGACTATTAGATGCAACACCAAATAACAAAAGCAAAGTATCCTTTGGGCATGCCATCTCTATTAAGTGGTTAATTTTAGAAAATTAAACGCTCACTAAATCAAAGGAAAAACTATGAAATAAATAAGGATGCTCTCCTACATTAGAAATTTAGAGGATCAAGAAATACATCAAGAAGATGGGTTGGTAGAAAACGATGGAAAAAAATGAGGTGAAAAGGAAGATCCTCAACATGAAACTTTCAAATAAAAAATTAAAGTAAATCAAGCCTCTAGAAGCCTGGAGCGGAAAGCCAAGAGTCAGAACTCACTCATTACTCATATCTTGAGTTATTTATATTCAAAACCTGTCTATAGTCATAATCTAAAAGATATCAGTAGATCCTAATCTTTTTGCCCCCTATAATGTTTAATCTAGAAGAGATCAGTAGATCCTAATATTTTTGCCCCCTATAATGTTTAATCTAGAAGAGAGGAGGAGAAAGTGAATTTGAAAAAGAAGAGAGGTTCTCCTTTGGTTTGCCCCCTAGAATAATGAATCTTGACAAAGATTTCTAAGTGTGACGATGAGTTGTCTATAAATATTAAATCTAGTGAAGGCAATTAAAGCCTAAATATAATTTGGATTTAACTAAGGTTTAATAGAATCCTAGGACTCAACTCTAAGAGAGTATATATTG